ACATTATGTTTCCATCATCTCCAATGGAGCCAAGGATTCACTATTTTTTTGGCTTTGTGGCATGATTGAATAAAGCAAAATGGCTCTTTAAATTATGTGCCCTTCTTTTAATAGTGAAGTAGCACTTAGTCAATGCAACTTTCAACGCTCATCATGGTTCATCCGGGAATAGCCGCTCTATGCCTTAAACATTGGGGTTAGGTTGTGTACCTGATTACCTGTGTTGCTTGAGCTGGGGTCTCTTTGGCAAGTAGAGGCAAGGTCTGCATATACACACCTTAGCCACTCTCCAGACCCTACTTTTGTGGAATTCAATTGGATTGTTGTTGTTTTAGTTAGCCTGCTACATTATCAACAACAACCCAGTATAATCCCAACACCCTTTAGGTTTGGGGGTCAAGATGTACCTAGTCTTACTCTTACCCCTAATAAACAGAGAGGATGTTTCCATTGGACCTTAGATGCATTGCTGCGTTTACTACCCAAAACTTTCTAGAAAGTACGGAACACGAGAAGCTTAAATTCCGATTTTGATTTAGTCCATTATGTGCTCGGAACTAAATTATTGTCAATAATGATTCTTTAAGATCCATTGGCAAGGAATGAGACCTACTACATTACCAAATGAAGTAGAATGAGTTGAATGCTCACTGGACTTTTACTGCCTCCAATTTGTCTGTTTTGGCAGACTGGCAAACTTTCTGCTATACACCTTACAATTGGATTATGCTTTCTAGCAGCCATGTTAGTTATTGTGGTGAGAGGTTTAACAGCAAGGAAATCAAGTTACAGTCGGCCAGGCTCCGTAGCTGATCTCGTTTGCCGTGGGCAGCTTAGATCAGAAAGAAGAGGCATGTATGATTCTAAATTTCACTAAGTGAGCTCTAGGATTCTTCATACTGTGGTTAGTATTTAGGTGTTATCTTCACGAATCATGTGTTTTCTTATTACTGATTAACATGATACTCATGATAGTATAAACAATTTCAAATTAGAAGATTGCAATCTTCTCTTTTGACTTGACTCAAACCTAATAATGACAATGGTTTGTGTGTTGAGTTGTTGCAGAGATTTTCACACTTTGTAAGATGATAAGTGTGTTGCCATTGCATATACCGTATTGATTTACCTTGTTACTCTTTCTTCACAGATCTACACCTCTCAAGTATGAAGACCCATTCAATAACCCCATGGTGAAGGTCAGCAAAAGCAATTCAACTGTCGAGATGTGTGGAAAAGTGTACCGCTTAGCTCCCGTGACCCTTACAGATGAGCTGCAAACAGTGCATAAAAAGCGAAGATCCCGTGCATATCAGTGGAAGAGACCAACAATGTTTCTGAAGGAAGGAGAATCAATACCTCCTGATGTAGACCCTGATACTGTCAGGTGGATTCCTGCAAATCATCCCTTTGCAACCACATCTAGTGATATTGATGCAGATTTGGCTCAAAACAATGTGTACCAGAAGCATGGTGTCCCATCCCGTGTCCAGGCAGAACATGAGGCCCTGCAGAGGAAGCTTGAAGAGCTACAAAATGTAAGTTTTCTCTCTATTCCCTCCGCTCTCTTTTAATGGAACGTTATGTTTTTATTGATGCAACATTCGACGCTCATCATGCGTCATCTAGAAACAACCGCTCTATGTTTTAACATAGGGGTCAGGCTGCTGACCCCCCCACCCTGCAATGAGCGGGAGCCTTTGAGGCATTGGGGTAATGTTGTTGCATATAAAAAAGAGAACGTATCTGGACATGATGTAGGTCCATATTTATTCAACTTTTGATGTCACATAAAAGTCATAATGATCGTTAAAAAAAGAATGGAAAAAGTTTTTCTTTAATCTTGCACTAAAGAGAGATTATACATTTCTCCATGGGTAGCTTCCCATAGTTTTATTTGATCTCAAAACTCGTAATTAGCTGCCTGATAGCTAGAAATCCTTGGTCCGTGTATGCATGTTAAACTGTGATTCTCTTTGTTTAGCTTTGTTTTGATCGTTACCATTTTGCAGGACCAAAAAATCGACAAATTAGTGATAGATTCTGCTGCATCCAGGGACTTGGAGACGTCGCAAATGAAGTCGGATAGTCGAGAAGAGGATAATGGCACCTCTATCAATCCTACAACGGGCCCCAATTCTCCTCCTCTGTCTGATCATGTGAACAAACCCTTGGGGCACAAACCACTACCTGAGGAGTTGCAGAAGCCATAAGTTTTTCATTGCCTATATATCCAAGAAAGCTAAACTCGTGCTGAGAGTGAAAGTTTTGATTTCAAGTGATGAGAATTAGCAATTACTACATCTTGTAATAATCAGAGGGTTTAGCCAATTATGAAATCCAGCTGATTTGTGGAGTTCCAAAGAGGCAGGGGGGTGAGAAACTTGATCTGGTGTATATAGAGTTGTGTTCTTTCACAATATGATTATTATTAGAGGGTGTCTCAGATGACACCCGTCAGTTGCGACACCTAAATTGACGGTTCTTACCTCCCCCAACCCCCTCATAAACCCCACCCCACCACCCTGCACCCCCTTCCCCTAATCGCTATTTTGGCGGAACTAATTTTGCCAAATTCACATGAAATGTTCATGTGAATTTTTCCTAAAAAATAAAGGTAGGTCTGTTTTTTCCATTGTCTATTTGTCTCTCAGCTAGCTTTCAAAATCTATGCATGCTAAAACACAGATTCTTTTTATATGGGTAGCTTGATCAAGTTCCAAAACCCACGTTACATTTTGAAATTGTGGTTAAGTAGTATGATTAAAAAGGAGGAAAGAAGGTTGTTGATTAAGATATCCCACACCGGATTTGTGACACTATTCTCTTTTCTTAATAGTCACCAAGTCCTCCTACTAAGATAGGTTGAGACCTTCAAAGTTAATTGGCTATTTGAAAGTCTCCATGAATATTTAATTGTTCCTTTTCTTAAATGGGAGGATTTTAACAATATTCGTATCTTGAAAATAAACAATTAAATATTCATCATGAACTTTTAAGTAAATAATTTTTTTTATTTCTTTTGTATTTTGAAAATGCACTATTACATCTTCATCAATAAGTTTAAAAACATATATTCTCATTCTTACTAGTATGTTTCTTTAAAGTTTCCGTTTTTTGAGTCAAATTGTATGAACATTAATCATTAATTTTACTTCATGAATTATATTGTATATTAATACAACAAAATAAATTTTCAAAAGTTTTCAACAAGATAAATATAATAAATGCATTTTCAATACAATTTTCGTATCTTGAAAATAAACAATTAAATATTCATCATGAAGTTTAAGTAAATAAGTTTTTTTTATTTCTTTTGTATTTTGAAAATGCACTATTACATCTTCATCAGTAAGTTTAAAAACATATATTCTCATTCTTACTAGTATGTTTCTTTAAAGTTTCCGTTTTTCGAGTCAAATTGTATGAACATTAATCATTAATTTTACTTCATGAATTGTATTGTATATTAATACAACAAAATAAATTTTCAAAAGTTTTCAACAAGATAAATATAATAAATGCATTTTCAATACAATTTTCGTATCTTGAAAATAAACAATTAAATATTCATCATGAAGTTTAAGTAAATAAGTTTTTTTATTTCTTTTGTATTTTGAAAATGCACTATTACATCTTCATCAATAAGTTTAAAAACATATATTCTCATTCTTACTAGTATGTTTCTTTAAAGTTTCCGTTTTTCGAGCCAAATTGTATGAACATTAATCATTAGTTTTACTTCATGAATTGTATTGTATATTAATACAACAAAATAAATTTTCAAAAGTTTTCAACAAGATAAATATAATAAATGCATTTTCAATACAATTTTTGTTTAATTGAAGTCTAATTTTTTTCCCATTTGACTTAAAAAAGTTAAATAATACGAATATACTGAAATAAAGGTTGTACTCCAAAATAGAAAGAAAACAAATTTGGAAAGAAAGAAAAACCAAACGATTTCTCTTTTTCCTCACCTAAATAGAAGGAATCCAATTTTCTTCTTAACCTATTTTGTTTTCTTATTTTTTTTAAATATCTTTTTCTCTTTTTCTTTAATATTTTTTATTTCTTTTGTATTTTTGAAAATGCACTAGTATATCTTCATTAATAAGTTTAAAGACATACTCTCTCTGTGTCAGTATATTTGTTTACTTTGAGTCTTTCGAATCATATAAGACAGATTTTAATTATTAATTATAATTTGTACTGTATATTAATACAACAAAATAAAATTTTAAAAATTCTCAACAAGATAAATATAATAAAAACATTTTAGCACATTTTTTTGTTTAATTAAGATCTAAGATTTGTCCAATTTGACTTGATAAATGTAAATTCGAAGCATGCAATGAGATAAAGCTTGTACTCCAAAATTGAAAGGAAATTTAGAAAGAAAGAAAAGAAAACAAATTGTTTTTTTCCTCATCAAAATAGAAGGTATCCAAATTTGGTCTTAATCTCTTATTTTTTCTCATTTTATTTTTCTAATACTTTTTTTTCTCTTTTCTTTCTCTAACCAAACTTGAAAATTTGATTTTCATTTTATTTTTTTCTTTTGTTTCTCAAAATTGTTGAACCAAACACAATATTAATCTTGCAATAAACATAGTTGATCTCTTCCTTAAAAAAACATAGTTGATCTCATACATCGTAACTAGCTGTTTAGGATTGCCTACTTTTTAGAAAAAGTAATTATTTTAATTACATAATCTAAAAGAAGCTCAAGATAACTTCTCAGATTCTATTTTTTCATCTCTCAAAAAACCACAATGTAGTATAGTATGGTTAAGTAAGAACAAGGGTATGATGATATAATATTGAGTAAATTTCGTAAATGGTCTCTAATTACATGTCATTTCCATATTTAAACCTTAATTTTTAGATATTCAATAAATGGTCTTTAATTTTTGAAAATTATTTCATAATCGGTCATTCAAAGACTATTTATGAAAAAAATTGGTGTATTTTTAGACTAGTTTATCGTTTTAGCCGGGCTAAAAACGGTATACCGGTCGATAATTTACACCATCATTTTGGCGCCGACCGTGGGACCCGAACAAAAAGCTCCATTTTTGTTCGGCCATCTTGCACAACCTAAAGAGTCATAGTTGCAAAAAAAAGTAAAGGGAGACAGGCTTTGGAGTGTCAAAAAGAAAGAGGGAGAAATTGCTAAATTATTGCTTTTGGAACACTGAACATGTGTTTTGGTTCTGGAGGTTTGCAAAAAAAAGAGGCTAAAGAAAGAAAAGCTTAGCAATTGAAGCCAATGCGGTTGGAGCGGGCTAGAGTTGCTGCCCCCATAAGATCTCCCAGAAGTCGCCGCAACCTTCTCTCTCACAACTGGCGTATATCGCTGAAGCTGCCCTAGTCTCTCACCACCGCCGGAGCTAAGCGACCATTACCTTTCCAATTGGTTTTACATTTGTCTGGGCCGAACTCTTTCCAGATCTAGGACTGCAAATCTACAATAATGAGGAGGAAATTGGCCGAGATTCCATCTCTGTTCACGGCCGGCCAAGTTGNCCGCCGACCCGGAACGATTCCGTGCCGTCATCTCCGCTTACTACCGCGGCGCCTTCGACGCCCTCGTCATCTATGTCGTCCACTCTTTGTGCTGAGATGTTCTCGCCGCTGCCCAATTTCGCAGCCGTTGTTGCCGAGACTGGATGGAAAAGTTGCCGGTCATCTCCGGACTAACTCACCATTGCTCCCACATATGGTTAGAGTTTCCATACGGCTAAAAACTGCAAGGGAGCTAATGAGTGACCACCAAATTGCCGGAGTGGTTACCGCGGCTAAAGCTCTGGACTAAGCAACCTGTGACCATCATTGAAATTGAAATCTACCACTGCCCCTATAAAACCAGCCGCCATGTGCCGAGGAGTGATCATCTCAATTACGCCGCTGAAGCCCTCCATCACAAGCAACCGAATTCCGTCGCAAAGTGGCGGCGGCCAAATTCCAATTAAAGTGATGGTAATGAATTACAACATTGATGCCACTACGGGGATGTGCCACCATCACATCTACACTTTCACTGCCAACACATGCGGAGCCAAAGAGGTACATGCCAATGAAGAATTGAAGATTTGACAGAGTAAAGATAGGCACCACGTGAAGAATACAATGAGCAAAGTCGTGGATGGTGGGGTCCATTCCCACTACATTTTGAAATACTCCAATTGAAAAAATCAAGGAAATGTGTCCATGTGATGAGGCTCATGAGTCATGGGCAACAAGAATAGGAAGCGGGACCATTTATGATTCTTCCAAGCATTATATATACCTCTACAATATACAAAAACAAGTCACTCCATGGCGAAAGGAAGAATCCAAGAAGACACTTATTCTCACGGCCCATCAATTAATCATTTTGGTGGGAGAGGTGCATTGAATATTGCCGAGGAGGAAATAAGTTCCCCACTTATTCCTCATTCGGGTCTACCACCAACAATTGGTGGAATGAGTTAGCATTATGGAGCAATAATTTGGGTATTTGTACATACCATTTGGAAGAATTCGGAGGGAAGACTGGGACACAAGCCGAGCTTGGTACGCTGGTTACAACACCGGTCTTGCTCAGTATTAAAAAAAAAGAGGAAGACTGAGACATAGGCCCGGCCTGGCACGCTGGTTACTACACCGGTCTTGCTCAGTATAATAAAAAATATTAAAATATGTGACACAGGCCCGGCCTGGCACGCTGGTAACAACGACAACAAAATAATAATAATAATATTAACAACAACGACGACAACAAAATAATAATAATAATATTAACAGTAATAATAATAATAATTACAATAATAATAATAATGTGTCTTAGTGTCTCAAAAACTCTCACCCATTGCGTGGTGAGAAGTCGAACCTGTGTGTGTGTGTATAACCTATGTTTAAAATATAGAATGAATCTTTCTAGAACAACGACGACAACAAAATAATAATAATAATAATAATAATATTAATATTAATAATAATAATAATAATAATAGTAATAATAATAATAACAAGAATAATAATAAAAAGAATAATTACAATAATAATATGGAGTGATAATAATATAATTGTAATAAGAATGATAATAATGATGATGATGATGATGATGATGATGATGATGATGATGATCATAATAATAATAATAATTGATGGTGCCAAAATGATGGTGTAAATTATTTCAATCGGTATATCGTTCTTACCCGGGCAAAAACGATAAATTAGTCTAACAAAATACACCAAAATGTAAACACAAGAATTTTGACGTGGAAACTCAATCGGGAGAAAACCACGAGCCTTATTTGGAGGTATCTTGCCCACAAGAGATTTTTATTAATAACGAAGGGTTATACACGATACATGATTTGGGCTCGAAAGCCATTAATGAAAGCTTAAAAGCTTATTGAAGAACGAAGATACAAGAATTCTAGAGAGAGAAAGAGCAATGGGCATGGAAGGAGTGTGATTGGCAACCCTTAACATTGAGGGCAACCCCTCCTTTTGTAGGGAAGAAGGGAGAGCATATTCCTGGAATATTCTCTTATTATTCCATTTTAGTAAACAGGTCCGGTTTGATTGTTATTCGTAAATAATTAGAAAATGTGGGTTTAGCCACATATTATTTCCCATAAAAAATAATATAAAATGGAGGGGTTCTATTGCCACTACAGTATCATTGGGTGTTTTGGTGCTCCGTTCATAAAATTAATGGTTACTGTAGCCTTTAGTTTCCCCAGCGAATACTCTCATCCTTGTCTGACCCGAAGCCACCCCCTTACAACAACAAGAACCCAGTTGAATCCCAGTACAGTAGGCTCTGGGGAGGGTGTGTGTACGCAGACCTTGCCCCTACTCGGAAGTAGGGAGCCACCCCCTTATCCCCATCAATTGGACATCCCAACCTTTGAGCCATGTTTTTCCAAAGTCAACTAAATTTGGCAAGTCAAATTGACAGTACTATTCTTCATAGAGATATTTATATTAATTTTTTCTCCGTCTATAAAAATGGGAAAAATGAATACGGAGCATTACCCTACCCTTTTTTAAAGAAAATATTAATTGTGGTATTATTTTATTTTTTAGGGGCAAATGAAATATTCTTTCCATATAAATTGTGGTATTACTTCATTTTTTATTAAATAATGACGATGATGACAACAATATTATCTTAATATCTCAAAAACGCTTACCCATTGCGTGGTAAGAAGGCGAATGTATATATATAACCTGTGTTTAAAATATAGAATGACCATTTCTAGAAAAACGACGATGACGACAACAACAATAATAATATTAACAACAACAATAGTAATAATAATAATAATAATAATAATAATTAAAATAATAATAATTAAAATAATAATAATAATGTGTCTTAGTATATCAAAAACCCTCACTGATTGCGTGGTGAGAAGTTGAACGTATATATGTAACCTATGTTTAAAATATAGAATGAATCTTTCTAGAACAACAACGACAACAAAATAATAATAATTATAATAATATAACAACAAGAATAATAATAATAAAAATAATAATTACATTAATAATAATATGGAGTAATAATAATATAATTGTAATAAGAATGATAATAATAATAATTGTAATAAGAATACTATAAAATGGAGGGGTTCTATTGCCATTACGGTGTCATTGGGTGTTTTGGTGCTACATCCGTAAAATTAATGGTTACTATAGCCTCTAATTTCCCCAGCGAATAGTCTCATCCTTGTCTGATCCGAAGCCACCCCCTCATCCCCATCAATTGGACATCCCAACCTTTGAGTCGTATTTTTCCAAAGTCAACTAAATTTGGCAAGTCCAATTGACAGTACTATTCTACATAGAGATATTTATATTAATTTGTTCTCCGTCTATAAAAAAGGGAAAAATAAATACAAAGTATTACTCTTTTTTAAAGAAAATATTGATTGTGATATTATTTAATTTTTTAGGGGAAAATGAAATATTCTCTCCATATAAATTGTGGTATTGTTTCATTTTTTATATTAAACAATGACGATGATGACAACAATATTATCTTAGTATCTCAAAAACTCTCGCCCATTGCATGGTGAGTAGTCAGATGTATATATGTAACCTATGTTTAAAAACGGAATGACCCTTTCTAGAAGAACAACGACGACGACAACAACAACAACAATAATAATATTAACAATAATAATAAGAATAATAATAATAATAATTACAATAATAATAATAATAATAATAATGTCAACCATTGCGTGGTGAGAAGTCGAATGTATATATGTAACCTATGTTTAAAATATAGAATGACTATTGACTCTTTCTAGAACGACGACATAATAATAATAATAATAATAATAATAATAATAATAATAATAACAACAATAATAACAATAATAATAATAATAATAATAACAAGAATAATAAAAATAGTAATTACAACAATAATAATATGGAGTAATAAAAATATAATTCTAATAAGAATGATAATAATAATAATAATTTTAATAAGAATAATATAAAATAGAGGGGTTCTATTGCCAGTACAGTGTCATTGGGTATTTTGGTGCACCTTTTATAAAATTAATGGTTACTATAACATCTAATTTCCCCGACAAATACTCTCATACTTGTCTGGCTCGAAGCCACCCCCTTATCCCCATCAATTGGACATCCCAACCTTTGAGTCATATTTTTCCAAAGTCAACTAAATTTGGCAAGTCCAATTGACGGCGGTGGATTCAGATTGAGGTAGGGTAGAGGATTTACCTATAGGTAAGAACTAACAATTTTTTAAACGAAGCATCAGAAGTCCTTCAAAAGACCAGAGGCTCTGTAGTGGTACAGTTGCCTGTTGGCAGCAGAACTAATCCAATATAAAAAATACATTTGAAATTAGAAAAAAATTAAAAAGAGGTGAAAGAAATTGAAAATAAAACCCTTTTTCTAAAGAATTGAAAATAAAACTTAGAAGAGTGTAAAGATGTTATAAAAATTAAAAACACTGGAAATTAAAAATTACTCCCTAAAATACTAAAATACAAAAAGGAAAAATTTAGAGGTATCCTAAAGTGTTGTATGTAACGCCCCAAAATTAGGCCTATCAGAATTAATTAATTGATAATTAATTAATTACTGAGAAGGACCCAAAAATAAGTGATTTATAAAGTTTGTCAATAAAAAATGAAAATTATATCAGTAGAGTTTGACTGTCTGACCCCAACGGTTCAATCAGATTTCAATTTGGAGAAAGTTGGACCAAAACATGTACCCCGACTGGAACCAAAATTAGTCTCAATCAGGGATTACACACCAAACGGCGCCATGTTCAATTACACCGATTCCAAATTCGTCGCTCAATCACGGAAGCTGCAAACATGTGTCTTCTTCTTCCTCACTTGGCTATATAAGGAGAGCCAACTCCTTCAATTCTTCACCAAAACAACTCATTCTTCCTTCTATCTTGTTCCTTGCTGAGAGTAGAGTGCAGTGGTGCTGTCATCTTTTTGTGAGGTCGCCAGAGCAGTGAGATATAGTCGCCGGAAGTTTCGCCGGAAAATCTTCAAAACCTCCATTACGCTTCGAGGTAAGCCCGTAGATGTATCTAAAGATTAGAATGTTCATATAGGTTGTTTTTACGTTCATAAATGGTCATTTGGTTGAGTTCTGTGTTTGACATATTTGAAGAACCAAGAATCATAAACCTTGAATTTGATGTTAAAAATATGTTTTGATGATTCTAAAATGATCTATGAACCTTGGAGAACATTTCTATATAGTGTAATTGAAGTTTGGTAACTAAAATTGATATTTCCAAAAATGGACCGAAGGTAAAAGACGATGAACAGTAACAGGCAGACCGATCCAGAAAGCTGGATCGATCACCGCAGTAGAAAAACTCTACTGGGTGGATCGATCATCTCCTGTGAATCGATCACCTGGGAGAGAAATTGTGAAGAGGATCGATCCTCCAAGCTGGATCGATCACCTGACATGTCTGCTCCGAAAATGCTTCTGAAAAATGTTTTTAACAAATTAAAACATTATGTGATGTATGACGGTAAGTTCGGGTGTCAACACTCGAGAATAGGCCGCTAATTGTATTTAAACGTTATGTTGAATGATTATTATGGTGAATAATTATTATGGACAATTATGAATGATAAACTTACTGATTAGAATGATTATTGATGATTAAATCATGATTAAAAATGAATATAATGGTGATCATGAAAACGGTGTATATTGTTAAGGATATCTAGAAGAACTCTAAGATATACCCACTTGTATAATGATGATTATTATTAAGGATATCTAGAAGAACTCTAAGATATACCTCTTTGACCAATTCATAATTCGGGGTTAAAACATATGTACGGGATCCAGACCGGATATCACCCACCCGACAGTTCACTATTCTGTACGGTAAACAGAATGAATGACTGGCATAATCCTAGAAGCGGAAGGGCGAGACAGACGTGGTGGATTATTGAATGAAATAAATAATTATGTTGTTATGAGACATATTTTAAAGTCACTTCCGCATTTTACTTAAACACTCTGTATTTCTCTACAGTTATGTATGAAATATTATTTATTTATAATAAAAATGTTTTAAATTATCATGATTACCAAATCAATACTTTAGTCCGAAAGAGCTACAGACCTGGACGGATTAGGGTGTTATAGTGTATCCGAAGTTTATGCTACCTTTTGATATACGCACACAGACACCCACTGCGTGATACTGAATGCCTGCTAGGTGTCAGTGAGTATTATGTGCGAAAGTGGGTGATGTACACCACTTTGGGTTAACCTAGCAACATGTTGGGAAAATTATATATTTTGATGATGATGTATTTAGATTGTAATAGGGACTTTATGTAACGCCCTGAAAACCGGTCTAGAAATTTTTAACTTTCTAGTACAAAGAAATTAAAAAAATATATAAAATAAAAATGTACGAAAAATATTAATAATAATAATAAAATTTTAATTTTAAATAAATGTTACTATTGTTTATTTAGAAACAATCGAGGAGTTAATTTAAACAATTAAATACTAGTAGAGATGGAAAAAAAATAGAATAAAGTGAAAGGGAATAAAAAGAATAGTTTGGTTCTCTACTATGCAAATAATATAGTTTGTTCAAGTGAACCTATTTTCTTGACAAACAAATTATGCTAAAGTGATGTGTCAAAAATATGGAATCCAACGGTATAAATTTTATTTTTTTCAAAAAAATTGGAAAATTGAAACTTGGAAAATCGGACACGTAGTACTAAACCAACGGAGCAGGAAAAAAAACCTTTTGTTTTCTCTCCATTTCTCACGCCACAATGGATTGTAACCAGTGGCGGAGCCAGGATTTAGGGGTAGTGGGTGCGCTATATCGAGAGCTCGGGAGTCGTGCCCCAAATATTTATAGAAAAAAATAATACGGAGTAAAAAACAATTAAAAAAGTAATGAATTTATGTCAAGCTAACATTCATATAATTTAAATATAAGTATTTTAAGAAATATTATGCATGCACTCAATTTCTTCATCAAAACTGTTAATTTATAAAACAAGTGTTGATTTGAGCATAATCTTCATATTAATTTAATAAAAAAACAATTTATTAATTTGAGCATAATCTTCGTAAAAAACTGGACGAATACTCCAGGACGGAGAGAGTATTAATTTAATAAAAAAACAATAGATATTAAAAATAACACAAAATTAGTAGAGAAAAAAATCATACTCCCTCCGTCCCCTTTTTTATTACAATATTCTGTTTTTGTGTGTAATAATAATAAGTCACATCACTTAAAAATTTCCCAAACTACCCTCTAAATTCATGTATTGGTCATCACGTGGGAAGAGCTCAAACTTGGTTTAAGTAAAGCAAATATGAATAGTACATCACTGTTTACATCATTGAGACTACATACTCCGTACTGGGACAATAGAGGGAAAAGTAGAGCCAAAAAATTCCAAAAATTTCAGTTCCCTCCTAAATTTCACTTACTATAAATAACTACATTTACTACTGACTTTCCCCATCAGATTTTTTTCTCTGCAGACCCTTTCCTTTAATGGATTTGCCTTTATTTCCATTTGATTTGAATGAAGTTTCGCCATTGTCAGCATCGGAACATGCAGCTTTTGAAGGTGTTTCTTTCCCTACGTCTCCCGAAGCAGCCATAACCGAACTCCTCTTCAATGGACGTCGAGCTCGAAACAATCCAAACCTCGGGGCTGGACGTCCTTCAGCTGCAAGTCTTGCATATCTTTCAGCTCCAGCGACTGTGCACACCGGGCATAACACGTCACCTGCAGAACAAACAGAAGAAACCCAACAGCAGACGCGGAGCAAGCGAAGGTTGTCAATGGAGGTAAGAAAACGCATAATTGACGTTTTATTATCAACATCTACGAATAACAAACTTCAGCGTGGGGTCATTCAAGCACGGTAGAAGAATATAACACGTGTTATAAGACTATATACTTGATGTGGTGTAAAGCTAAAGAACAAATGAGACAAGGACTGCCCATAGATGTACAAACAAACATGAAAGGATGTGTTGGTAGGAAAAAGTTGGATCTTGATTTAGAACAGCTTGCTGAAATTCCTTTATGCAAAAGGAAAAATTTGAGGGCAGTGGCAAGCCAACTTAAGGTGTCAAAAACAACTGTGCACAGGCTCTTAAAAAGGAAGGAGATAAAGCGTCACTCAAATGCCATAAAGCCACTTTTGACACCCTTGGGTAAGTTAAAAAGGTTAAGGTTTTGTTTAAATAACTTAGTGCCTCATACCATTCTCATGAACCCTACATTTCATCACTTCTATGATCATGTTCACATTGATGAGAAATGGTTTCAGTTAAGCCAAGAAACAACCACCTTTTACACCTTACCAACTGAGGATGACCCATATAGAACCATACAGTCAAAAAAGTTCATTCCAAAAATCATGTTTGTGGCAGTAGTGGGGAGGCCAAGGTTTGGGGAAAGTGGTGAAACTTTGTGGGATGGGAAGGTTGGAATTTTTCCCTTTACATATGAGGAAGCTGCCAAAAGAAACAGTAAGAACAGGCCTGCTGGAACATTGGAAACCAAGCCAGTAGATGTTGTAAACAGGCAAGTAATGAAGGCAATGATGCTTACTAGAGTCATACCAGAAATAAAGTCTAAGTGGCCTGATGCTCATAACAAGCACATTATCATACAACAAGATAATGCAAAACCACATGTTGACCCAGCTGACTCTGAAATTGTACAAGTCTGTCAAGAGAATGGTTGGGATATTAAAGTGCAACTCCAGCCTCCCAACAGTCCTGACTTAAATGTTTTGGACTTGGGATTCTTTAGAGCTATTGACAGTATCAAAGATCAAAAAGCTCTAAAGAATGTCAAAGATTTGATTAGTGATGTGGAAAAAGCCTTTGAAGAAATGACTCCACAAAAACTGAATAGGGTGTTCTTAACTTACCAATGTTGCATGGAAGAGATTATAAAGCAAAAAGGTGGTAACCAGTATAAGATTCCACATATGGGAAAGGATAGGTTGGAGAGAATGAACCAGTTACCAGATAACATTCAAGTTAGGATGGATGATGTTGTGGCTGCTCAGAATTTCATAGCATCAGAAGGTGGTTGGTGAAAGTTCAGATTATATCCTTTTTGTGTTTTTGCTACTTGTGTGCAATGCTATGAGGACAAGTACTTATCTAAGTGTACTGTCCATCTTCAGATTTTGCTTTTTGGGTTTTTGGGTATGGAATTTATGTATGTACATCAGAAGTGGGGATAAGATACTTTTAAAATCCATCCCCTTTTTTTTGCTTTTTGGGTTTTTGAGTATGAAATTTCTGTATGTACATCAAAAGTGGTAATTTGCCATCATAGATCTCAGGAATGAAGATGTGGATTATTGTAATCCATTTGGGATAGGGTCATCACTGACCTCAGGCAAATTTAAATCAGGGACAGGTTATACCTCAGGGAATATTGTAATCAAAATGGGGAATAAGAGAGGATTAGTGTCATGAATTATCTTAGGAAAATGCAAAGAGTAGACACCTTATACCTCAGGGCCAATACACAAACAACATTGAGTGTGGTAGACCTCAGGGCAAAGTGACTAAAATTTTGCATATAATAGCACATCATATATGGGAAATGGGGATTATCTCAGCAAAAGCAATATTTATTGCANCATCACAGTTCTTACACATCCTCCCAAATAAACATGAAAACAAATAAGGGCTATCACAGATCAATCATTATGTTCCTAGCACCACCACAATTGTACAGGTCAAATATACATGCAATTCTTTTATCCCAGTACAGAATTTCAAAGCAACACCCCCATATCATCATTAGTCACAACAAAAGTTACCACTTTCCGGTCATGTGCATGAAATAAATAAAAGGAGAAATCATACCGCATGGTTCCAGCCAAGAAGGTCTTTTTGGAGGGTCATCCATGAAAAAATATTCAACGCATGTCAATTTGGTCGGGTCATACACAGAGGTTACCTCTTCCCCTTCCCCTTCTTCGCTCGAAAATCCCTCTTCCGTGTCTTCTACAACCAAACAATTGTACTTCTTTCTGTACCTCCATGTAGGGTCTGTTTCAGACGTGTATGAAGGAGATTCAAAGGGAAGCACGCTGGTATTTTTGTTTTCAGAGATATCAGGGGATCTAGATCTAGATTTGGATCTAGATCTTGAAGGCGAATCCTGTGATAAGAGATGAAATGTTGGAATTGATGGATCTGGAGCCATTGCAGAAGAGTTACGGAAGAGACAAGAGGAAGACTGAAGAAGATGGAGGAGAGTAATGAGGGGATAGAGACGAAGAGGTAGGGCGGAAGTTTCGAGGAGATAGGGGACGGGTGGTTCTGAACGTGGGAGGGGTATATTGGTAACATTTATGGGTAAATGTTACCAAATTTAATTTTTGTAATCTATTTTGGGACAAATAGATGGAGAAATATTGTAATCAAAAAGGGGACGGAGGGAGTATTATCAATTGATGTGGGCCATGTGGCACGTCTTGAGCTCCACTATACAGTCTCTGCCCCACTTCTCTGCTCCGCTATGTTCTGCTCTGCTCTCTCTCTCTCTCCTGCTCTCTCTCTCCCCCCCCTATATATATATATATATATATATATATATATACACACTAAAAAATAAAAATTGGAGTGACTGCAATTGCAGTCAATTGCTCCTCTTTGGCTCCGCCCCTGATTGTAACCTCCCTTCCATCATTCATTTCACCTCATTAAGAGGATTAATAATTTGCTTTTAATAATTTAATTAAAAAATATTTAAATAATATTTTATTTATTTAACAACCATCCATCTTCCCATCACTTTCTAGCACCTTCTCCCCACCCTATAAATAGGGTTCCTTAGGAAGGGAGAACACATAATCATTTTGGAAAAAATATATAATCATAGCTAAGTAGAGGGAGAGGGAGTGAGCTAGTAGGAGCGGGGTTGTGGTGTTGCTCGAAAGGAAGAAAGAGATATGCGGGGGACGCATCACGGAATTATCCCGCCAAGATTTGTCCAACTATTGTTTTGTCAAAACCGACACTTAAGGTGTGCCGTTGACCCTAACCTTTAGATATATATTTCATGTTAATATTTTTTTTTATTAACATGAATTTACTCTTTGAGATAATAAATTAAAAGAGAAGGATACTAGTCATTATAATAATAAAAAAATATATATGTCAAATATAAATTTCACTTGGCTTCCAAAAAAATGTAGTTATACATTTGCACACTTTCGGTAGTGGTATAAATGAAGTTTTTATTCTTTATTGTCATTGTTATTATATTCGTTATTAGTATTAGTACCATCATTATCTTTTCTACATATAAAAATATATACTCCGTATAACCGAAGGTTAAGAAAAAAAATGATAATAAAAAAAGTTGATTAGTATGGTGATTATACTTTTGTATAACCGAAGGCAAAGGTTTTATTCTTTATTATCATTAGTACCACTATTATCTTTTCTATAAAAAGAAAGTTTTAACCGAAGGTAGGAAAAAAAATAATTGATAACAAAAATAAAAATTATTAGTAGGATGACTTATCTTTCGGCAGTAGGTTTTAAAAAAAACAGTTTGTTTCTTGAAAAAAAACAGTTTTGCTTTTAAATAGTAAGGGCCGAAGGTTTTATAATGATTATTCATTATCAATGATTATGATTTATCAAACTTCAGTTTGGTCGAAGGTTAAAAAAACAGTTTGGCTTTATAAACAAAAATGAAACTTTGTTTATGTCATAATAAATTTTTTCGACTCCATTTAATTGTTTTTGTTTCATGTCGTAAGTGACCGTAACTATAAAAAATTTGGTATGTTTGTTTCCTTAAAAATATTGGTATATGATTGTTGAATGAATAGACTTGCAATCTTTTTTCCTGGTTTGAATGTCTAATTGATCAAGTCGCATGATGTTTTAGAAAATGAAAAGGGGACAACATCCTATGATGATTAAGAGATAAATCACACGATTTATGTAAACGACTTTACTAGATTAATCAAACAATTAGTGGACTAAGTAAAGGTTCAAAGTTTATTTTAACGACGTACCCTGACCAGGTATTGTCACGTTCTAGTATATAAACCAAACTACATTTCAAGGCCGGACCGTGTCCATGTGGATGAGCCTATAAATAATCATACCACAACGTGCGCACGAGAACCCAACGATGACCCCGTGGGTCTAGGGTTCACTTCTGATTACTGGACCCGAGGTCACGGGGAGGTATCCGAAGTAAAACTACGAATCGACTAGTGCGGTGTTCCAGCCTAGTCACGGCTTAGTTCCTAATCTGTGGTTAACCTAGTAGTCAAAAGTTTTCTAAATGTCCCCAAGTAACTATTCAAAGTAAAATTATTTCCTCGACTATTTTAATTATGCGAAAAGTTTTTTTTCTTTCTTTTTGAATTAAATTGAAAAACTTAAAAGGCCCAAAATATATTTACATGTTAGCTTACGCGAAAAATGTTTTTTTAATTCTCTTAAGTTATCAAAAAGAGAATAAATTTCAGATAAATCATATTTTACAAAGTAACCCGATTTTACCAGCACTCTGGTCTAGATGACTCGGGTCATCCAGGGTGGGGTGTGACACTTTAGGGCACCCCCAATATTCAATGTAATTTTCTTTTTAGAAATAATGTTAAAACCGAGTTCTTGAGATTTCCAATAAAACTTGTGATATTTCACTTTATGGTTTGATGTTACTCTTTGAAGACTTAACAAATCCAGTGATATGGAAATTGGAATTCTTGCTCGGAAATGGCAGAGACAAGTAAGGAATTCTCAAAGCAGTTGTTTACTTTGGAATTCTCAAATCCGGAATGCTCTATGATACCCGGAAGTCTCGCTACAACCCGCTGAAGGCTAAGTCATCCGGATCAGAAGACTAGCGCGGATCTCTTTCTCACCCGGAAGTCTAAGAATGACTAATCTGGAACTGTCAGCTAAAAACCGGATGTCTTAGGGAAGACCGGAACTCTCAGAAGCGGACAAGTGAGAAAAGACTTGGAAAAATATCTAAGTCATAAATGAAGAAATTCTACCCGTTGGTAAGGAAAAATCAATTTCTTAATTTTCAACGACTAGATTGAGGATAATTAAGTTGATTCAAGGACAAATGACATGAATACAAGGTCTGGACTCCTCAATTTGAATAGCTCAGCCAGAATTCTTGAACAAACACAAGAAGACAAAGAGTTCTCCACTCAATAAACAGCTACAGTCCAGAATTCTTGAACAACAATTAGAGGACAGATTCTGTGAAAAAAGAATCCTTCTTCAAACAATTGGGTATGCCCATACACCCATTCCATATGAGAATCCTCAATCTCACTCTTCATTCAAATTGAAGCCAGCAAATGCAACGGATCGATAGTCTATTTCCTTCAACGGATAGATTATCCATCCGGCCTATATATAGCTCCCATGGAAGACTGAAGAAAACAACGAGAACGACAATACGATTAACTCAGCAGACTACAATCAAAGCTATCTCATTCACAGTTAGCCAAAAAGCTTAATAAAGAGAGATTTCTAAACTCTTTATCCAGAAACAAACTCCTCCTTCTCCCAAAGAGCTATAGTGTAAACACTTGAAGGTTTTCTTACCTCAAGTACCACACCACGTTGAAGGATACAACCTTTAATCAAACTTCTTGATTAAAACGGGGCACATCAACTTGTCTACAAGTTGATCTTGCAAGTCCTATTGTTCGGACCTTGCAGTTGTTGAAGAAGCGTGACCTTCGAAGGAACAACAAAGCCAACACGAGTGCAGTAGCAATATTGGCCTTGCAAAGATATACCGTGCAGAAGTTCACAAAAGCGTAATTGTTGGTTCATTATTGAACAACCAACTACATAGTGGATTTTGAGGACGTGGAAGGATTACCCCACCTTCGAACCTCATTAAAGTTTGTGTGTCTCTATCTTATCTTTACTCATACTTGCATTTATATTAACTGTGAAACTAACCCTTCCATATTGATAATTGCTCCATTAACCCACCAAATTCCGCAGACAATCTAAGTTAACAAGAACTTTAGATTAACACTCATTTCACGTTTTCAAAAAGAAACGAAAAAGTTTTAAATTTGTAACAAAGTCTATTCACTCCCCCCTCTAGACTTTGTATCTCACCACTTAGGGGACCACCACAACACAACGAGGAGACTTCCGTGAAAAGGAAGAATTCTGTGATAGAATTCCAAAATATCAAAACAATTTCCAATCAATGACAAAGGAAGTCAGTGACTTCCTTTGAGAAGAGGTGTAACTAAATTACTCGTGACCCATCCTTTCTTCTCCCTTTCTCTTCCCTTATTTATTTACTCTAATTCTTTTCTATTTTCACACCTTCCCAACTATTTTATAAATTCAAACACTCTTCTTTCCAACATATTATTTTAAATTTATTCATTTTTTTCAATTTCTTCCCCATTCAAATCATCAAATATATACCACAACACTTCTTCAATCCACTCTCAATAAAAAGGTATGTAATTTTTTTAAAATTTTATTCTTTAAAATCATTATAATTTGTTTGTCGAAAAAATGATTAGAATTTGTTTTTTGTTATGATATAAATAAATTTATTTGTTAGAAACATGACCTTTAGTATTTCATAGTATGAAAAAATGAATCAAAAAAATTCTTATGATACAAATATATTTCTTTTTTACTTTGTATTTGTATATAATAATTGTAACGCCTCAAAACATACCCTAAAATTATTATTGAATTATTATTCAATTAATCAAATTTCCTTTGATTAAAATAAATTATTGTTGGGCTTTGGTCCGAAATGAAATGTGTTTTGATATTCAATATCACAATCTGGATAAATCTCATAAAGATAAATCCAATATATTGATTTTATGTGTGATCTTGATTGAGAACCAAAGTACATACTCGAATTAAGAATAAATAAAGAATTTGTTTATGATGTGAACTTTGAAATAATTTGTTGAAATAAATCATGAGAACAAGTAATATGAATTAAATATGAGAATCTTTTTGAATAAAGGTCAATTAAATCAATTTTGACTCTGTCAAAGTCAAACACTCAAAAATATGATGTCGGAAAAAGTATTACAAATAAATATAAAAATTATATTATTAGATAGAGTTCGACTGTCTGATCATAACGGTGCAAAAGGATTCCAATTCGGAGAAAGTTAGACCAAAAAGTGTACCTCGATTGGAACCAAACTAGTCCCAAGTCCCGATCTTATTCTGACGAAATATCAAAATGTTGTTATGAACAAATAAACTGTAAGAGTGTATTGTGAGTAATTAAGCTTTGAATTGAAGGCTATAAATAAATTATGTTTTGTGATTGTGACTTATTAAGCTTCCACAATATTGAAAAATCTATATTGTTTATGTTATGAAAAATATTATTGTGATAAATAAAAGTGTTTGAAATATTTTAAATTTTTACGATTACCTAATTAATACTTTAGTCCGAAAGGGCTGCAGACCTATACGGATTAGGGTGTTTATGTTCGATGCATTAGATATCCTTACTAAGCCTCACCGTTGAGCGTGTAATATGTTTTATTTGCTACACGCAAGTAAACAGAAAGAATGATGTGACGTAATCTCGACAACAAACAGGGGCAAGATTTTCTAGATGAATGTGATGGCTTTAAACTGTTATTTCAAAAGACATGAATTAATTATATTTTGTGATTGTGATTTGTTAAGGTTCCGCAACATTGAAAACTCTGTTACTGTTATGAAAGTTATTTTTATGTGTTGGCTTTAAAATTATTTGTTGTTTTAGATTATATTTTTAATTTTTATTGACTTTTACTAATCAATTCTTATTTATGTTATGAATGTAACATTGTTTTTGTAAACTTTGTTTGGCCAAAAATAAATATCATTATATGAGTTCTTATTTTAATTATTTTTGCCATTAAATCATTTCTAAAAAATTAATAGAAATTAAGTTTTAATTTGAAAAGTAGAAATTAAGTTAAAACAAAAAAACAAATACGAAGTAAAAAATGAGCAAGTGAGCTAGCCAGAAAATAATATCAAAGGAAGTCAGCGACTTCCTTTGAGGAATTAAAAAAAATAACACGGGATATTCGGGAGGAAGTCTGCACGCCTGATGATGCTGATTAAAGTAAAAAAGAATAATCTCAAAGGAAGTCACCGACTACCTTTATGAAAAATATGTCTAGAATTTTTTTAATAGAAGTTGTTGAGTGCATTTTTCCCTATACCGAAATTAGTTCCTAAAACCTTCCCTATCTTGGAATTTTTTCCAACACAACGATATGGCCCGAATATGAAAGATCCCTGTTTTTATTCACAAATAAGCCCAAACCCAATCGTCTCCATTCTTCTCCCCCTGCCCTGCAGCTCAACTCGGGTAAATATATAAGATTATAAGGAAAGAAAAATCTGAGAAACCGCATAGAGAAACGATGAGATCTTTTCACATTGTATTGATCTTTTCACTTCTTTTTCTATGCTGTATGCGTCTTACCAAAGCCGAGGTCATTACGCTCACGGCCGATACCTTCAATGACAAGGTAAGATATATATACAGCTTTACATTTTTCTCTAGAGTTGCTGATCGTACTGTAATTGGTCCAAAGACCGAGTTTTTTTTTCTTTTCCAAAAGATATATTGCTTGGATTTAAAATAAGCTGTTTTTTTAATGTCCGGCTAAGCCCCAACTCTCTTTGAAGTTTTTGATCTTTTGTTGTTTTGACTTTGAAATGAAATTTGGTGTTTATTTCATGTGTTTCTGAAGTGATTTTGAATGGGTTTTTGTATTCTATCATCAATTTTATTTTTAGATTCAAGGCCTGCTTAGAAAAATGGAAATTTGAGTTGCCCAACTTCTCCTCCTACTGAAAATGCATAATCTTTATGTAGTAAACAGTTAAATAGTACAATTTTCCGAATTGGGAGAAATTGAATACTTTGAACTCACCTACTATGCTACCAAGGTAGAGTTGGTTGAGAGTAGAAAGTAGATTGCAGGCATACAACTTAACTATTGAAATTGGCTATGCAATGATATATAGGTTTTTGCAGTAAATTCTCATTTATTTCCATTAACAATCTGTTTGAGTTTTTTGGAATGATGGGTGGTGGGCAGTGTCCTTACTGCTATTAGGATTTGTTTTTGCTTGCTACCGTGATCTTGATCCTATATTGACTTATTTTGACTGGTGTCATCTTTAGATAAATGAGAAGCATACTGCTTGGTTCGTGAAATTTTGTGTTCCTTGGTGTAAGCATTGGTAAGGATTTCAGTCTTTTTTGTTTTAGATCTCTACTTAATGCAGCCCTGACTTTGTAACTTGTTTGTGATCTCATATGATTAGATATGTGACTATTGGCTTATTGTTTTCCCTTGCTTATTGACAAATATACGGAATTTTAGAAGAAACATATTTGATGTGAGTACGTGATTGGAGAGATTTCTTAATGCTTGCTCATTAAAATAGGCTTTTTGCCTTTCTAATACAGAAAATCTCAAATATCACCTTAGCAATCCACTACGACTAGGTCTTAGACTCTTAGCCTATAACCTACCTGCTGTGGGGATTCTCCTTACCTTTTCTTGGGGTGTGGGAATGTTAAGGCGGGATGAAGAGTTATTATAAATATTAAGAAGCTTAAAACTTGGTCACAATATATTGTAATACTCCCAATTTTTCTCTCCCTCTCCTTTTATGCATTTTTATCATCCCTACTAAAGAAAGTTTAGTCTAAGCCTTTTTTGTGATAGTTTTTTTCTTTTTCAAAAGTAAAAACTTGGGAACATTATGGGAAGATTTAGGGAAGGCAACAGAAGGAGATGATGTGATAGAGGTTGGAGAGGTTGATTGTGGCACAACTAAATCAGTATGTCAAAAGGTTGATATCCATTCTTATCCAACATTCAAGCTATTTTACAATGGAGAAGAGGCTGCAAAATATCAAGGTAGCAATATTTTTTTCTTTTGATTTCATATACATTCCCTAATCTTGTGTGCTTTTAGTGGTTTTTATTCTTCATTGTTGTAGTTGCTTGTTCATGACAAAATGACTTAACTTTTACCAAGTTGGTATGATTCCCATTTGATGAGTGCAACAACACTTACCTCATGTGTCCCACATTCTATGAAACATTTGGGTTTGACAATAATTTTAGGAAAGCAAAGGAGATACTCGTATTAGTTGTTTGTCATTGAAACCTTCATAAACAGGAAAAAGGAAATATAGAGTGTAACCATGTTTAATAGGTGAAATGATAGATAAAACGGTAAATTGGGAAACTAAAAAATGGGTAGTCCAACATAGGAAAGTGAACATTATTTTGTGACAAACTAAAAGTGAAAGTGTATCTAACAAAATGGGATAGAGGGAGTATATTTTGATAGGGCCCATAAGGGCTATAGTTGCCAAGAGAAACAAATTCAGTAAGAAATGCAAATCTGGAGGAAACTATGATATGATCTGTCTTAACGCCACAGGCTTCGAGGGAAAATAATTATCTGCTCAATGGAAGTGAAAAAAAAAAAGAAATGAGTGATTCGTTGTTCTTATTCTGTCCCCACTTCCCACAACTCCTTGTTTATCACACTTTTGTCTTTTATCCATCTACTATATAAACAACAACTAATAAGATGCTAAGCCGCTCCAATATTATATCCTGATAAGTGATAACTCATTCAGCTGAATTAGGAATCCTTCATGAACTCTGTGAGTCTGCATCTTTAAGCCTATCGAACTAGAACACATGCACCAACTCTTACTGAATGAGAAGTCTTTTATAGTTTTGTTTAAAAGGAAGAAAGGGGACATACCAGGTGATAAGTCTGATTGATTACTCTTCTTTGTCTTTAATCGACTTTTCTAACTGCTCAAAAAACTTACATCTCTCAAGAACCCATGAGAAGTACTGTGGCGGTAACATTGAAAACAATTTTTGAACTGTTTGGAATTGGATATGCCTCACTGAGGTTGAGGAACCTATGTTCTAAAAAGCGCTAGGCGGAGTGTAGTTGAAGCCATTTTTATAAATCATAGACAGTCCAGTGAAGCCTAGTCTCATGGGCATGGACCAGTCATGAATTATCATGATGGCTGTTTTGATGTTTAAAACAGTGATGGAACAGATGATGTTTACTTTCATGCCTTATTTAGGAGCTTTCCCCCTTGGCCCTTGTTATTCACTTGTCTCTAAGACCTTATCATAAACTTTTGAAATAGCCCATACGCCATTCCTCTCAGTAGTCAATGTTACCTCATCCTTTTCACTCTCTATGATGTTCTAGCCCCCAATTTTCTAAAATTCCGACACGCCATCCCTCTTGTATTCAATGTTACCTTCCTCTGCCTATATGTTTGTGACTTCATCCGAATCTACTTGAGAACATCTACTTGAGTTGCACATGTTGCTTCTTTTAAACAAAAGGTGATCCTTCATTAATTATTCTTAACTTTCCTCTATGTGCGGATTTAGGGGTGGACATTATCAGGCCGGCCCACTCCAAGCTAGGTTTCTTTTTTCTTTAAAATTTATATGAATGAATTATATTCCAGCCCACTCCTAGTTCATTTTTTTGGAAGCACCAGCTCCGCCCTTGCTTTTCCTCTTCTTCATATTCGGAGAAAGTCTTCTCTTCCTTTTGTGAGTTTAAAATTAAATGATAGAAATTACCTATGTTTTATGTATGCGGAGCTGATCTTATTTAGAGTTGTTGGACCCAAAAAATATGAATGTAAGTGTTTGGGATACAATGAGTTATCAACTATCATTGGTGCGTTGTTTGACTACTACTATGCTCTTTTCGTCCCTAAATATAACACAAACAACCAAAAACTCATTTATGAGACATCATGGGTGGGGGTGCAATTTTAGTATTACACGGGGTTTGTTTTCCTAATTTTCACACGTTTTTTTTGCCAAGTGGCAATAACATTGGGAAGTTTTCCACAATTACCTCGTGTTATTTACTCCTCCTTCTGTCTCAAATTAAACTTTAGAAATTTGGTTTCACGGAATTCAAGAGAAGTGTTGAAAAGTGTGATTCAAATTTGTTTAGAGGAAAAAAAGATTGCGAGCCACATATTTCATTCCATAAAAGGAAATGGGTGAAGTGTAAATAGTCTTTTGGGCCAACCAAAAAAGGAATGTGAAGTTTATTTAAAGATTGGGCGTAGATACCACAACAACAACCTAGTATATTCCCAACTCTGTCATGGTCGGGAGTCAATATGCACTCAATCTTACCGTTAAAAAGCCTATTTCTGTTAGACTCTAGGTGCGATGTTGCATTTACTTCCCAAAACTTCATAGAAAATAAGAAGCAAGGGAAGTTTAATGTGCCATTTTTATTTAGTCCATCACGTGCCCAAAACTAAAACATTTTCAAGCCCAGACTCTTTTAGATCCATTGGCAATGAACGACTACTTGGACAAATATATTCAGAATTTAATTTGTTCCAAAACAATAAATGATGATCACTTATGTTGTGGTGATGATAAAAGCTCATTTCTATTTTCCTTCACTTTGTATTGTAATATGTATAGGGCCAAGGGATGTGGAATCACTGAAACTGTTTGCATTAGAAGAGACAGAAAAGGCAGAAACGAAAGCCGAAAGCCACGAGGATAAAGAATTATAACATTATTCTCTGGTAAACATTAGTCTTCACTATATTGTGTTTGATGGTTCCTTTCTGGCCCAATGCCTGTTTGAGTCAATGATTTGCAATTATCACTGTTTCTTCTCCTATATATCCGTCTGCACGGAGCAGTTTTGCATGGTTTCCTGGGAACGCGTCGACACAAAAACACGGAATGTCAGTTCATCACGGCTGATGTCCCGACTGGTGTCTTGTAGTTTCCTTTTTTCATTCTTCTGGCTACTCAGTGTTAGTTTTGTTTTGAATGTTTTGTTCATTAAATTTGCTACCTTTAGTTACATACAAAGATGGTTTAATTTGATTGTGGTAATATAATGGTGAGTAACACTCGACAAGAAAATGTTGAACTATTCTTGAAAATTCAAGTTTTACCCCCTCCCCTCTCCCCGACACACAAATAGGGCTAGTGTCATAATATAAGGGGAAAAAACTACAATAGGAGTAAAATATAGAAAATATATCAAAATAATTAATAGTTTATGTTTTTATTCTCAAAATAAGAATTAAAATACATATACAATGGTAATTATGGCAATATACAAAAAGTATTGTAAAATATATATATGTAGTGTCATATTATTACAGTGTAAATTTTTATATGAGGATAAAAACATGTAGGTTTTATTTTAATTTTTTCTTTATGTTTAATTCCAATTTAGAGTGATGTTTTTAATGACACTTAGACTTGGAGTCATTAGAACCTTGCCCTTATTTCTTTATATAATCCTTTCGTTCCAGAATGACTAAAGTCATACTTTTATTTTTTTTTGTTAAATTAATACTTCAAATACATTAGTAATTGCTATTTTCAATCACTTTCTTTCCAGGCCATTTATTTTCGGAAATGCTATATGCACACCACCAAACAAACCCCACTTTAACCCCATATATATATCCCTCTTTTTTCTTTTTTAATTTTTTAATAATTGACCACTTTCTCTCTCTTCTTCCACAATTGCAGTCCCTCCATCTTTCTCTCACCACCTTCTTCATCCCTCTGTCGTCCTCTTTTTATTTTTTTCTTTAATTTCATTTTCAGATTTCATGCTCCAATTTTAATTGTTTTTTACTTCAATCATTAACTGCGATTGTGTCTCCTTTCATCCCTTCGACCATCTTCGATCATTCCTCTTTGCCACAATCGACCGTCCCCTCTTCGTCACAATCAATCGTCCCAATTTCGCCGTCATAGATCGTCCCTGTTCACTAGTGGGTTGCTCAATCAAGGTATTTTTTTTACTTTCAGGAATTGGCAAACGGACTTGCAGATGATGAAGAATGTACAAAGAAGTGGATTGACTTGATCGAAGGGGAATTACAACAAAAGATTTGTCCACCCTCTAAAGGAGTACGAAGAGATACTTTGAATACCGACGAGGTAGAACAAGTGATAAACATCTTAGACCCAAAATCCTCAAAACGGAAAGGTGCTCCGCGAAAGAATCGATTGAAGTCCACATTCGAGAAAAAGAGTCGAAAGCGAAAAGCGAATAACAAAGCCTTTGGGGAGCAAGGAATGAGTGTACGTGTCGAAGAGGAGGATTTGCGCCATGCACAACAACAATAAAGATGGCCTGCGCAAGGTGAAGATGGTATTTTTGACCTCACTGTGAGTAACTTGGATCTCAATTTAAGCATTATGTAATGCAAATTATGTATCATTTTGATTTTTGGAAATGTAAGATGTTTATTTTTGGGAACGTAAACATCTTACATTTTGGGAACGTATTTTTGTTTACTTTGACATTTTGATTTTTGAAAATGTAACATGTTTATTTTTGGAAACTAAAAAGAACAACATCCGACCTCCCCTTACCCTGCAATGGGCACGAGCCTTTGAAGCACTAGGGAAATGTTGTTGTTCCTATTAGTGTTGTACACCTACAACTTTCCATATTATTTCTCTGTATATGTGCAGCACCATTTACAATTTACTCCCTTACTTTAATTATTGTAAATATTTTGTCTGCTTCAACAAGTCTTCTGCCTTGCAAGCACTAGATCATTACCCAAACTCTCATCTTTGTTTTCACCGTATGAGCATCAAATACTTTAACAATGTTGTCAAGTATTATAATGTTTTGTAATAAATTTTTTGTGTATTGTATTTGAATTTTTTGCTCCTATTACACAATTTGTACTACGAATTTTGAGATATTTTGGGAGGCATTTTTAGAACTTTATTTTTGCCATGGTTTTGACCTAAAAAACTTCTGTTTTTGCCAAAAATGACAAGAGCAACAGCAATGGAGGTAAAAGTTAAGACGCATTAAATTTTGTCAAACCCAAGAGCAGCAGCAATGGACTTTTTAAATTTTTTGTTAATTTTTTTTAGTAAAGTTTATTTTATTGCATATAATTAATTTTTTACAAAATAAAATTTCACATAACCCATTAAAAAAATTTACATTCAATAAATGTTTGAAAATAAAATTCATTAATTTTTGTTATCTCAAATAGTTTGCCAAAAAATTTGGGGCGCCACCCCTAGATAATAATGCTACCATCTAACTGAATTTTTGGATCCGCCACTGATATAAACTACAAATTAAAAAAATCACATACTAAGAAACAAATTTCACAAACATTAAATCAAATAAAAAATAACCTTGATTGGCCAATTTACAGAGAAAATAAACAAAATCACAGTTAATGATTGAAGTAAAGAACAATTAAAGTTAAAGAATAACATTTGAAAATGAAACAAAAAAATAAAAAGAGAATAAGAGAGGGACAAAGAAGATGGAGGGAGAAAGAACATGGGATCAAGGGATATTAAAGAGGAGAGAGAAGAATGTCAATTATCTTAAAAAATATATGGGGTTAAATGGTGGTGTGTTTATTTTTCATCCATATGGACACTTCTCTTATTCTAACTCACATCACGTCAAAGTCAATTCAGTAGTAAACTAAAAAAATCACCTAATTGATAATGGTATGATCTGATTTGATTGATCTGAAAGGATTGTAACTATATTTACCATTGTTTTTTAGTAGTCCAATCTGATTTGATTTCATCTAATTTGAAGTATAAGCTAAATAAATAAACTTCACAGAACGGGCTATAGGATAGGTCTAGCTATTTTTTAATGTATTCCAAATCTTACTCGCCCGAACGCCCTCTAAATTGCACGATAGAACAATAAGCAGCTGCGACTAAACACTCAACACTATTAGAGATTAATTCATCAAATCCTTGTGAATAAAAACTCCAAAGACAACGTTAGGAAAAACGCATTTGTCTATTCATTTTTAATGGAACTCAGCACAAAACTGACACAGACCTCTAAACAAAGCTACGAATAATAGAATCCACAAACAACAATGGGGAAGACTGATAAAAACAAGGGTACCAAAATCCAAAACTAAGAAAACAAAGCAAATTTGTTTCAGCAAACCATGCACACTGCTGGCAGCTCACTTCTTCTTCTGGGCAGCCTTGGTCACCTTGGCGCCGGTTGGATCCTTCTTCTCAACACTCTTAATCACACCGACTGCAACTGTTTGCCTCATGTCCCTCACAGCAAAACGACCCAGCGGTGGGTACTCAGAGAAGGTCTCAACGACCATGGGCTTGGTCGGAACCATCTTGACGAAACCAGCATCTCCATTCTTGAGGAACTTGGGTTCCTTCTCAAGCTCCTTTCCAGATCGTCTGTCAACCTTGGTAACCAACTCGGCAAACTTGACTGCTATGTGAGAAGTGTGGCAGTCGAGAACCGGGGCATACCCATTCCCAATCTGGCCAGGGTGGTTCATGATGATCACCTGAGAAGTGAAGTTGGCAGCTTCCTTGGCCGGGTCGTTCTTAGAGTCGGATGCAACATATCCACGCTTGAGATCCTTGACAGCAACATTCTTCACATTGAACCCGACATTGTCTCCCGGAAGTGCCTCTGTAAGTGCCTCGTGGTGCATCTCAACAGACTTGACTTCTGTTGTCAAACCAGTGGGTGCAAATGTAACAAGCATACCCGGCTTGAGAACCCCAGTCTCCACACGTCCAACAGGCACAGTACCAATTCCACCAATCTTGTAGACATCCTGGAGCGGCAGGCGGAGTGGCTTATCAGATGGCCTCTTGGGCTCATTGACCTGGTCAAGAGCCTCAAGAAGGGTGGGTCCCTTGTACCAGTCAAGGTTGGTTGACCTCTCAATCATGTTGTCACCCTCAAACCCAGAGATGGGCACAAAGGGAATTTTATCAGGGTTGTATCCAACCTTCTTTAGGTAGGAAGACACTTCCTTCACAATTTCTTCATACCTGCCCTTGGAGTATTTGGGAGTTGTGGCATCCATCTGCAGATACAAACAAAGTAGATCAGAGGATGTTAGCATGTATCACCCATCCATCATATAATAAGACTGTTTATATATGACGCATTTGATAATATATTAGAAAGTAATCCATATCATTCATTTAATGATAACATAAATTAACCATATAACTGGTATATGTTGATAAAAATATCATGTATCATTCATCTACTATATGATTAGATGGTAAACTATTGTCATTCAATTTAAGATATTACTCTGTATTACACTTTTATCAACAGGATTTTTCTTCCATTTCCCATGCGGGATATCAAAAGAGAGAAACAAATTATGATAAATTATGTTAATCAAAGAACCACACTTAGCAATATTTAAAAGTTGTTCAAGGGCATACAAGACTAGACTAGAGATGGAACAAAAACAGACCTTGTTGCAGCAGCAAATCATTTGCTTCACGCCAAGGGTGAAAGCAAGCAAAGCATGCTCACGAGTCTGACCGTCCTTGGAGATACCAGCCTCAAAACCACCAGTCGTAGAGTCAATGATCAAAACAGCACAGTCGGCCTGTGAGGTTCCTGTAATCATGTTCTTGATGAAGTCACGATGTCCGGGGGCATCAATGACTGTGCAGTAGTACTTGGTGGTCTCAAATTTCCAGAGGGCAATATCAATGGTGATACCACGCTCGCGCTCCGCCTTGAGCTTGTCAAGAACCCAGGCGTACTTGAATGACCTCTTGTTCATCTCAGCAGCTTCCTTCTCAAACCTCTCAATCACACGCTTGTCAATCCCTCCCAGCTTGTAGATCAAGTGACCTGTTGTGGTCGACTTGCCAGAATCGACATGGCCAATGACCACAATGTTGATGTGAGTCTTCTCCTTACCCATTCTCAACTTCTAGTAGCAAAAACTGAAATAATAAGATAGGAGAATCCATTAGAAGACTGATAAAAATGACGGAATACAAACAGTAGTTCAATCTCAAAAACAACACAATTAAATTTTCTGGATATCTGGAAAAAAACGATCTACCTACGAACACATGAACGAAAAGCAAGTTTAGTTTCCAATTACAAGATTTTAGAAAGACATAAACCGTTATTTTCTCAAAAGATAAAACATAATTCCATGAAATCTGATAAGCGGATCTCATAGAACAGATCGCCAGACACAAACAAATCAAAAACCAAGCAGATTTAATGATAAGAATCAAAGGCAATCATTACATGAAAGCTAATCAGAATCCACGATATGAAATGAGGTGACTTAAGCAAAGATTGGAACACCAAATGGAACACTCACCTTTATCGCGATGCAGATCAATGAAAGATTTGGTTCGACGGGAGATCGGCGCGAGAAATGAGCGAGCGAGAGACTGAGATGAAGAAATGAGGGACTTTATAAATCAAGTTCAGGGAGGGCAGCGAGGCTAGGGTTTTTCAGGGACCCTTGGATTTGAATATCGACGGTGCAGATGTTCAATGCCTTTTAGGTCAGCCGCGGATGGATTTACGTTGGCTTGCTTACTTGTTTGTTTTGCGTCCTTGTCTCTTTACATTTTGCTAACACGTCCTTGTACATTTCACTAACTACACTTTGGGTGATTTTATATTATTTTTTTCCCTTTTTATTTTTTGCATTTCCACTCTACCCAATATTATTTTTAAACATTTTTTCGACCTGATTGACTTATTATTTATAAGTACTCCGGAGTCATTTTTAATTTATAAGCTACTTATAAATTGAAAATAATTGTGTAGGTTAAATGACTTAACACTATGTTTGGTTCAAAGAATTTGAAAGGGAAAAGAAAAAAAATGAAGTGGAAAATCATTTTTCTTGTTTGGTTAGAGGGTAAAAGAAAGGAAAAGTGGAAGGAAAAGAAAATGAGGAGGCAAAATGTATCAAGTGGAGGGAAAATCAATTTCTTTCATTTTGGTAAGAAAATGATAGAAAACCATTTTCTTTTCTTTTCCTTCCAACATCCTTGAGCCAAACATAGTGTAAGTGATATATAAACCATTTGGAACTCTTCATAATAGATAAGAGATACGGAGTAGTATTTAAGTAATTTGGTCAAAATGAAAAAATTAACTTAAAATATGCAAGGTCGTGTTCTCTTAATCTGATTTGAATGATTCTAATCTGATTGCAATATGTTCTGATCTGATCTAGTCTGATTCCAATAAAAAATAATATGAAGTATGTAATAAGAATAAATTAAAGAGAAC